TTCTCCGGTTTGGTGGCCACATTAGGAACGGACACTACAAGTCATATCTTTCCCATTCGATGTTTTAGCTCATGAGGTATGTGATTCACACCGACGTCGTTTTCGCGTTTTCCGTTCGAATACTTGATCTCCTCTATGATGAATGCGGGTCTAATGCATGGCTTTCCTCTGCTGCCAAACAGGAAATCCGGCTGACGTCAAATTATTCACACTTCACTGCGGCATGCACCTTGCAGCTTTGGCTGAAAACGGTTTTATGGCCTTGTTCTCGGGCCGGGAGAAGAAGTTTTCTGAGAAGGCGGCCCTGAAGGACACCGGTGTGAACGAGATCGAGGATACCAATTGGAACGAGACATTGAAAAAGTGAAGCTGCATGACCGACGTTTGATGGGAGTTTGTGGTTCGTCCGTGGTCATTCGTGCCCTGACTACGATGGCAAGCTCCCGGACCTACAGAGTTCTTTGAGCGTGACAGAAGAGGGTCACGGACTGTTTTTACAGCGACGGCGCTTTGGAAGACCGGAAGGATTAGCTCCAATTATGCGACGACATTACTTTTGAAGTCGCCGGATACTTCCACGTACAAACGAAAAAACCACCAAACCAGTTCGATTCTCTCCCGCCGCAGCGTCGACGGCTACCAGCCATCCTCTTCGCTCCTCGTCTACCGCGACCGAACGGCCCGCATCGCCGGAAATTTACAGAAATCTTGGTCAGCCCGGCCCGGTACGAATATTACCACACCGAAAACACCGACGTCGTCACGCGCGACCAATGTCGACGAGAAAGTGATTGGGTCGTTAAAGGCGCTAGCGACGGGAGACCAGCGCGGCAGAGGAACGGCCAGTCATTGAGCGCCCACAGCATGTTTCCATGTCGGGCAGTTAACAGCGCCGCGGTCGCTTCATACGCGGCAGCTCTGCTGGTAACCGCCTGCATCTTGAAACACGGGAAGAAACGTGCGATCTCGGGAGCTGAAGTCGGCAGCTGGGAGCGACAGTGTTGGTGGCCGTGCTGAAGCCTTCAGAACATTGACGCGAAGAGCCGTTAGCAACTGCACGTTGAGGGGAATGTGATCGGCGACCCTGTATTCCCGTGTCTAGCAGCCACTCGCCGACGCATACCCTCGATGCCACGATTTGTAGTATCGCGTGCGATCCGTCGATCCGTCAATGCGCAGAGCAAGCAATATTCCGTCCCAAAGGTTACGATATGAGGATTCGCGGCCGCCAGCATCTTTGGACCTGAACTTGATGCCGTTTACGCTTCTTTCAAAAGCACTTTCCTGCGGTTGCGGCGTCATGGCCGCGAGGCAGAGGACCGAGTCGACACCACTGTTACGACAGATTCCCACTTCACGCCATGGTGCCCTCCGACAACGCCCCGGTTCGATGTGCCCGCTGTGTTTGCGGCTTCTGGAACCCGGCGAGAGATCACTTGAAGGATCGTTAGCGACAGGAAGAAAAAGAATCTATAGTTGAAACGACTTTAGAGGCGATGGGGTTGCCTGCCTGCCTTGACGGTGCACATTCCGACTGCTGCAAAGAAGCCCGGTAACGGCCACATGTCGGATGGCCGCGTGCAGCGACTTTATGCGTCTCGAGGGAGCTGGCCCACAGCACCGGATACATGCTATGCGGGCCCGTGGAGTTTTAACAGGCCAGAGTAATCTGCATCATGTCTTCGATACCGCACCGGCCGGCTGTTTAGTGTGTGATGCTAAACTACATATCCTCAGCTCTCTGCCGCCAAGCGGCAACGATCTTCATCAGCAGCAGATTTTCGCTGACGTATTCTCTCGTAGTAGAGTTTTGAGTGTGTTGATGTGTACTGCCGTATTGTGATGACTACTGAGCGGCTACGGCGGTGGCGGCCAGTATCAGCGCCGCCTGCATCAGCACCAGCGTGCCACTTCTGCTGCGGCGATGCCAGAGGCGGCGGCGCAATCTTGGATCTTGCCGCGGGGCGCTCGTTAAAGAATGGGGGGTACAATGCAGTTTGAAACGGTTAGTGAAATGAGACGGAGAGTGGGAGGTAGTGTTCGTTTGCTTTACTGCCTTTCGGATGTTTGGTCTGTTGCTGAACTTTTTTCTCTCCGACCTTTGTCGTCAAAGAGCTCGACATGGATTCCGAGCGACACGATACGTTGCGACATCGCGCCAAAGTGCCTTGCAGCAACGCCATGGTTGCGCTCTGCCCGTGCTTAGAAGTTGTGTCTGTGGCTCCTGGAACCCGGCGAGAGATCACGGTACCGCGGGATCGTCGGCGACAGGAGCAAAAAGAACCCATAGTTGAAACGATTTTCGGAGGCGCTGGGATTGTCCGCCTTGACGGTGAGCATTCCGGGTGCAGGAAGGAGCCCGGCAACCGCCGCACGACAGGTGGCCGCAGCAGCGACGGTATGCGTCATGGGGCCACCAGCACCTTGCTCTGCGGGCCCGCGGAGTTGTTACAGGCTTAATTGAGAGTGATTCCGCGTCATGTCTTTGACACCGTAAGAGCCGCCTGTTGGTGCGTGATACCAAACTACATATCCTCAGCTTCCTGCCGTCAATCGTCAACGATCTTCATCAGGAGCAGTCATTTGCTGGCATATTTTCTCGTCAGAACAGTAGAGTATCGAGTGCTGTGATGAGAACTGAGCCGATACGTTGCGAGTAACGGTGGCGGCCAGCATCAGGTGGAATTCATCAGCACGAGCACGCTGCGGGCCGCTCGTCAACATCATCGCCAAAAGTACTACGAATGAACGGGGCTGCAAATCGGTTCGAGACGGTTAGCGAGGGTCGACAGAGAGAGTGACAAGAGGTGGGTTTCTTTGGTTTCTCCCCTTGTTTTACTGACTTTTGGGCGATTGGGCTGTTACTGATTCTTTCCTCTCCATTTCTGTAATCATCAAACAGCTCAACATGGATTCAGGGATATTAACTTCACTAACACGTCAATGCTTGCCTCCACATTCTGCCTTCTCCGCCTTGGCCGCCGATTCTCCACCGGCACGCTTTCCCACCACAACAGCACCCACAGCACGTTGCGAAGTCGTCCCTACTCTCTTAACCACCGTTTTCGGGGCGAACGTTTCCGGGCACAACCTCGGCGCGGCGACCTGGTGTTGTGCTACGGCGCCGATGGACCTGCGCTACTTTTGGACACGAAGTGTTCGGCACGGCCGGGTGACTTTTCGTCGCAGGCGTTGGCGGCGACCATGTCGATGCCTCACAGAGCAATAGCAGCCGGAGCCCGAGCTGGGGAAAGAAACCGAGGCGGCTGAGGGATGGTTGCGGCTGCCTAGGTGCCGCTTCCAAGGAGGGGGAGGACAAAGGGGACCGCTGTGGGGCGTACACCAGGCTACTACTACCATAACTGGACATCGCCGGCTCTTAAGACTCCCTCCTTACTGACGCACGCGAATGTGGTTCCGCGCTAGTATGCGAAATCCGATGGCAAAGGCGCATCCCCGCCTGGTGCATTCAGAACGGATCGCGAATGTTAGCGCCTTGAACTTTTGGAGGCATCGGGGCTTAGGCACAAGCGAGGAACCGGATCGCCTTTTCAGAAGTAGCAGAAACCGCCAACCTTGTCCCTTTTCTAGAGAGCAACCAAGAAGCCACAGTCCATGCCGCGTGCTGCCCCATCTCGAGGACGCTTGGGCCTAGCCTCTTTAGAAAATCGGTCCTCCCCCGGGGTCTGCAGGAAGGACAACAGATTTTTGATTGCGGGGCTGAACCTGGCGCGTGTGCGTGAGCACTTCTTTGACCCTAGATTTGCCGAGCGATGCGAGCGATTGGCAGGGAGGCCGAAAAAGCAGAATGGTGCGGCTTATGGTGTAGTCCCGAAACCCCCTTCTTTCCCGTCGAAGGTCATCTCGGTCAATTACAAGGAGGCTCGAAAGCCTCTTTGTGTGGGACATTGATGTCGCCAGCCTGGGCGTCGATGGACCCCATCTCTTTCCGTCCACGTAGATCTGCGGCGCGAGAACCATGCTGAAAAAAGCAGGACGGGCAGTTCAAGCACGCAGTTTGTCAAAACACCGGACGCTGCAAACTTCGACCTCCTCAGATCTTGCGATTTTAGCGCATCTTTTTCCACGGCCGCCTATCTCTTCCGGCACCTGCCAGCAGGCACCATCGGCCTCTCAGCGTCCAAACAGACATGCGACAATTCCATCTCAACGGCGTTCCAAACCATCGAGTTCTTTTTTTGGCCTTGGTCATCCTCTCCCCGCAAGATGATGTGTGCCTCCCACGAAGTTAGAGCCGGCGGAATCTCGCTCACCATCATAGGTTTCACTCCCAAAGCATTGCTCCAGCTCATCGGCAACGGTGCCGTGGGCTCCTTCATTTCTAACACGTTGTGGGTGTCTTTTCGCGCACACTTTTGAACGGGGCAACGCCGCCTGTGGGGCTACGGTTTTGCGAATGCTTGATCATTCCTTAGTGCTGAAGATACTTTGACGCTGTGAGCCGGATACGAGGTTCAAGCCCTCGGATCGGTAATGAAAATACGGTCGAGTGCAATGCGTTTCACTGGCTGCGCCCTTCCAGTGGTAGTATATCACGTCCACGGAGTGGAAAAGACATTATCGCCGCACGGAGGAGGAATGAGTCCCTAGTTCCATAGGATGTAGTCAAACGGTGGGCAGAGACATTGCGGAAAAACGTGACTGCTGCGGAGAAGGAAAAAAATATGCTGACCCCAGGAATCGAACCTGGGTTCTCTCGGCCACAACGAGAAGTAATAACCACTATACTAGGTCAGCTTAGGTAGATACGGTCGAAAATGCGATTTCGGGTAATGATGCTCTCCCAATTGAGCTACGCAGGAAAATCCCTGCGGCGGGGTTCGAACCCGCGACCTTCACCTTAGGTGGGATAACCCGATATCAACGGACCGACCTTCTGAGTTGCGGGATCAAACCACAATTCAGATATCAAAATACACCAATCATATTTCAATGAACGACTGCCCGATCCCGGGGCCGAACCCTGGACCTGCGAACCTAGCCCGATCAGGGGGTCGAACCCTGGACCCTTGGTTTATACCACAGGTAGAAACCTGTAGAAGACCAAAGCTCTAAACCACTGAGCTAAACGGGCGTTTTTCTGAACTTCGATATCAAAACAGGCAGTTAGAGTAGAGTAGCCGGGCTCAGAGATATTTTTCCGCCCATTTTTCCGCACCTCCTGCTATCCCAGCACTTACTCTCCGATCGCCAAAACAGTCAGTCGCTTCAGGATCAAACCACCTGATTCTGCTCCTACCCGTACAGCGCTGAACCGCCCGCAGCGGCCGAGCATTGTCCGCCGCTGTCTGTGAGCAATAGAAATGTCAGCGCCACAGTAGCTAGATGTTCCACTTGCAAGTGGCGATGGCGGGGCTAGGCATTTACCAGCAGATGGTTTCCTTGACGACCCTAGACGAAGCATGTCGGCAATGATGAGCGGATCAGGCCTGTCCTTTGACGGATGGTTCCGATGTGATCCAGAAAAACTGACGGAGTACTGCAAGATCAATTAGTAGTTGTCAAGGTCGGTAAGGTGCTCAAGTGAAAACCCTCCAGCAGCGATGTGTTGTCGGGGGCCCTGAGAGTTCAAGCGTTGGGAGAGGAGGGTGGAAGGTCGTCGAGTCGTCAAATGAGTCTCTTGACACAAAATTTTTGTTGCTTGTCTCACCGATAACAGCGTTTCACCACGCCACCACAAGGACTCACTCTGAAACGTGTGCTCTGTGAATTCAACGAGTTGTGAAAGTATTTATTACATTTTATTTATTGAAGTGTGTTTGAGTGGTTTGAGTGGCCCCCAAAAAAAAATTTTCGGAGTCAGAAAGTGAAGATTATGCCATAATATTCGTCACCGGCTCCGTTCTATAACATTAGGTTAAAAGATAGAAACTGTATGCGATGGAGTGTTTCACGTGACTCCAGGGAAATGGCCCGTGTGCTTAAGGTGAACACGTACGCAGCTGTACCTAGAAGCTGAATAAACATTTAGTTGCTCAAATTCGAAAACACGCTTTAAGAAGCGGTGGTCTAGAATAGCGGTGAAAACCGATAAGCCGACAAAACTGAAAGGCTTCAGCTAGCCGATATGAACCGTCCTATCAAGTCCAAGATTGATCGTTTCGCCCTCAGCCTGACAGAAGGTCCACTGGTCCGCATTGCTGTCCCGATAATGTCAAAAAGCGATATCGAACTGTAGGCTAAATTTTCCAAGTACGAACAGAGTAGCTGTAAAGAGGTGTATCTGTATTGTTTCCAAAAAGGGACAGAAGAAAGGACGTAGGAGAAGAAGGGAAGAAAGCAAAACAGCCGAGGCAGTCTAGATCCAAAAAGGAAGGGCGCCCTGCTCATGCACAACTATACCGACTTCTAAAAGTTATCGGTCCTCAGGAAGCATCCTCTCTGGGTGCGGTCGCAAACCACCCCGCTGCACCCCGGATAATCTCCCAGCGGCTCCTGGAACAGCTCAACGGCCGCCTCAATCGTGTCAATCGCCTTGCTCTCCCCCTCAGCATCCACGACCGAGAACGGCGACAGGAGCTTGTACATCCAGAACCCGTCGGGGGTATTTTCCCTCCTCGAGTCGTCCACCAAGAACGGCGGGGTATCGGATTCCGTCTTGAGGATGTCGTATACTTCGGTGGGGAAAACGGCCGAGGGGAGGGTCACTTTGAAAGGGGTTGTGGCGACGGGGACGCCGAAATCCTCGATCCCGGCGGTAAGAAGAGCCTGAAACAGAGAAGCGAATTCGGTTGGGGCGAGCGGGGATGTCTTGACAGCGTTGGCGGCTGCGGCGAATGACGCTTCGTCCTGGTCCCAGCCGGATGGCACGGCCGCAGGCAGGTCCGACTCGAGCTTCCCGGCAAAAAACTCGCGCACCTCTACGGCGAGCGATTTGGTCCCGTCAAGTTGGGCTGCATCCAGGGCCAGCACAACAAGCACCATGTAAGCGACGTGCTCGCCTGCCTTTTCGGCCGAAACGATACGTCTTGAAATCTTCCGTCTCGTGTCCTTCTCCGACGGTACCCATTTCGTCCAATGTTTCGGATGGTCCCTCGTAAAGGTACCGGCGAGATGCGGAACCACATTCGTAAACAGCGACCGAGCGGTGGCCACGTCACCCAACTCGTCCAGCCGCAGCGGTCTTGACTGCACCTTGGGCGGCGTGGTCAGCTCACCCGCGTGGATGGCGAGAGTGTAGTATCCCAAATCGACGGCCTTCCAGCCCAAGGAAGCGTAAAGGGGAGCGGCGGCGGGTGCGGCATGGAGGACGGCGAAATCGATCCCTTTGGATTTCATGTAGGACTCGCTCATGGCCATGAGTTTTGAGGCAAGCCGCTTGCCGCGGTGCTCGACACGGGTTGCTACGTCACCGATGCCGCCCGTTCGGACCTTTCTGCCGCGGCCCAAGCACATGGTTCGAAGGTAGACACGCACGGAGGACGCAACCTTTTTCGATTAGAGAGAGCGAACAGGTCAGCATCCTTCTTTCAAACCCATTCGCGAAGAGACGGGAATCAAAACATACCTCCTTCCCGGCAAAGGCGACCGCGACGCCGTCCAAATCCGCATGCGGGTCGTTGTGCCAATGGTCCTCAAACAGCCCACGCGGCGCGCCCGGAGCTCCATTCGCCTTGGGCACGCCAAATACAGTACCGAGATGGTCCAGGAAGGCCTCGACCTCGTCTCCGTTGCGGAGCGTGCGCACTTCGTACTCGTCGGATGCGGGCGTCGTCATCGATGGCAGTTTGAGAATGGGGGCGAAGTATTTTTCGGGGTGGGTCAAATAATTTCTGGTCGAAGGCACCAAAAATAAATTCGAAGCGAGGGCTGCTCCGAGACGGGGAGTTTAGCCCCATCGCAGCCCCGTATTCGCAAGTCACGTCGACGGGGCTGATTACTTCGGGCATCCCTCGAAGCAGCCACTACTCTCAAAAATATAACCAAAGGTGCACCGACTTCTTCGACGACATGCTGCTGCTTGTCGCTGGAGGTCATGACAGTCCATCCGTAATAGAATCCACGTCGCTATTTGCGATCACCGCCATGAAGTTTCCATCGTAACTTTGAGCGAGCGCCAGTCCAGATCCCGTTGATCGATACCGCGCAACGGGGCCGTCATCGAAGCTCAAAACCCCGCCTGAGCCTCGGCGGAGGTGCGGGAGGTACTTTGTGCAACCATGAAAGTGTACTGCATTGCGGTGGTGACAAAGTCGCCCAAGACGCAGATCCTCGCCGCCGAGTATGATCTCACCTCGTTCAACTACTTTCAGCGGGGGAGGTTGGTCTTCTTTCGCTTGCTGCTGTTTAGACGGAGACTGGAGGACGTTTAACCAACTGACCGCATACCTTCTTTACGATTGCGGAACACAGCGTCCAAGAGTTCCTCAACTTCTTCATCCAGACCGTCACCGAAAGAACCCAGCCCGGAATGAGGCAAAAGATCGAGGAAATGGACTGTCGGTGTCGTCTCTTCATAACACATAGAAACCTTCAACTAAAACTGTTTGGGATCAAAACACAGCTTACGCCGGCCACGTCTACGTCCGCCACGATGGCCTCGCCGGCATCATCGTCACCGACAAGGAATACCCAACCATGCCCGCCTTCACCGTCGTCAACAAGGTGCTCGAGGACTTTTCCTCCAAATTCCCCCAGTCCGATTGGGCATCGCTCTCCCCTGCCACAACCTCCAGCACCTTCTCTGAGCTCAAGCAGGTGCTGATAAAATACCAGAACCCGCACGAAGCCGACCCGCTGCTGAGGGTACAGAGGGATCTGGATGAGACCAAGATTGTTTTGGTAAGGAACTCTGTTTTTTCCCGTAAAGATTGTGGCTGATCTATTCCACAGCACAACACCATGAAGAGCTTGCTCGGCCGCCAGGAAAAACTTGAGGAGCTCGTCGAACGTTCGGATGCCCTGTCGTCCCAATCTAAAATGTTCTACAAAACCGCAAAGAAGAGCAACTCTTGCTGCGTAAGTCCTTCCTTCAACTCAGTAGTTTGTTCAAAAAAAAGCTAACCCATGTATTTCCTGCCTTAGAACTACTAAACCCTTTTCGACGGACCGTTCCGGACCCCTCATCACTTGCCATGTTACTTTATCCCCGCTGGCGCTGTGGTTTGTTTTGCGATGATATTGTACACTTCCTCGGGCTTGTTTTTTAGTGAAATAAAGCTGAGGATACCCACCAGCTTAACCTGTTTTCTCCCGCTTTAAAAATCCTTTGCTATTTTACTTTCTTCGTTATTCTCATAAATGCAGGACGCAAGGAAGCCGAAGAAAAAGGTATTCAACGTTTTGTCCCGCTCAAAGTGTGTTTGACGCCGTGGTTTATTATGTTCTACTAATGTGATTTCCTCTTTCGACGTTTTTTCCGGGCTGTCTACGTTTCAGCCTTTTAGCCATTTCCTATCTCTTCTACGCTGACGATATATTCAAGAAGCGACACGACTGTTTTCAAAACTTCATCGGCGAAGAAAACCTTGGATATCCTCTGTTATTGGTAGAGGTTCTGGTATATTTGCAATAGGAAGGCCACAATGCCGAAGCATTTCCCGTGTCTTTGAACTCCAAACCGCCTCTATTGCTAAACCCTTCTCTCCTGTATCTGTACACAGAAAACCGATCGCTTCAGAATAATAGAAGTCCTTGGAGGAAAACGAAAAAAAGCGACCCCCGTGACCACATATTTACACTTAACCCCGCAGAGTCTGCCATAATGACCCTCTCAGCAGGAACAAGACCGCCGCCTGGAACTTCCATTTCCTTCCGACCACAAACGGTCACTACACAAACCTCCTCACTCAAAATCTTCCCAGACACAGGTTCAGTAAACCCCACCGTACCCCACCATCACGCTTGTGCCATCAGGTAATACAGCTGCTCCCTCCTGCTCGCTTTCTTATATGTCATGGCGTGGGTCTGCAGGCTGCTCCAATAGTTGAATGCTAAAGCGGATCTTTGTCAGAATGTCGCCGCATCCAGGAAGGGGGAAGAAACACTCACTGTAAGCTCCTGCGGCCTGCTTTGCGTGCGCCTTTTTACACGCCTCGGAGTCGAAAGCCGCGTCATCGAAGCGGCATATGGGAT